AGGAGCCAAAACCACTCGGCTCCCCTCCTCAAAGAACAGACAGGGATGGCGGGGCCTCCGGTGCTTACCACAGGTCTGCTGCCTCCAGGATGGCAGCGGATTACATGGAGAGGCGACGGAGCTCCGAATTATGCGGCCGCTCCATTCGCCATCTTGGACACGCCCCCACAAGTCCTTTATTGTAAAAAAAGCAAAACAAATTATTCCATCATTGTAATCCATCAATCACGGTGTCCAGCATTGTCACTAGAGATGAGCGAATCGAAGTAGGCGAAGTGGAATTCGTTTCGAATATTAGGAAAATTTCGATTCGCGTCGAATCCGAAAATAAGCAGACTTCGGATGCGCGATCGAAATTTTTCCTAAAATGGCGGCGACATGTGCGGCGACGGAGAGCGGGGATGTCTGGGAAGGCGCGCAGACAAGGCGCGCTGACCCATAATGCATTCATTCATGACATGTGATCGCATTAGCCAATCAGCAGCCAGCCAGCCAGCACAGTGTAATGGTCGAGCTATAAATAGCGGCCATTTTAGAATTCTCCATTTGCCTCCAGTCATTCAACAGAGGCAGACCTGGCTGTATGCAGGGAGAGAGTTAGGGACACAGAAACGTTACTTAGGGACAGAGAAACGTTAGTTAGGGCCACAGAATCGTTACTTAGGGCCACAGAAACGTTACATAGGGCCACAGAAACGTTACTTAGGGCCACAGAAACGTTACTTAGGGCCACAGAAACGTTACTTAGGGACACAGAAACGTTACTTAGGGCAGAATGTGTTATTGAGGGAGACAGAAACGTTACTTAGGGACACAGAATTGTTACTTAGGGACAGACAGAATTGTTACTGAGGGATACAGAATTGTTACTGAGGGCCACAGAATCGTTACTTAGGGCCACAGAACGTTACTTAGGGCCACAGAATTGTTACTTAGGGGCCACAGAATTGTTACTTAGGGGACACAGAATTGTTACTGAGGGACACAGAATTGTTACTTAGGGCCACAGAACGTTACTTAGGGCCACAGAATTGTTACTTAGGGACAGACACAGAATTGTTACTGAGGGACACAGATTGTTACTGAGGGCCACAGAATCGTTACTTAGGGCCACAGAATTGTTACTTAGGGACACACGTTACTTAGGGCCACAGAATCGTTACTTAGGGCCACAGAATTGTTACTTAGGGACACAGAATTGTTACTGAGGGCCACAGAACGTTACTTAGGGCCACAGAACCGTTACTTAGGGCCACAGAAACGTTACTTAGGGCCACAGAAACGTTACTTAGGGCCACAGAAACGTTACTTAGGGCCACAGAATTGTTACTTAGGGACAGACACAGAATTGTTATTGAGGGACACAGAATTGTTATTGAGGGACACAGAACCGTTACTTAGGGCCACAGAACGTTACTTAGGGCCACAGAATTGTTACTTAGGGACAGAAAGAATTGTTACTGAGGGACACAGAATTGTTACTGAGGGCCACAGATTTGTTACTGAGGGACAGACACAGAAACGTTACTTAGGGCCACAGAATTGTTACTTAGGGCCACAGAAATGTTACTTAGGGCCACAGAAACGTTACTTAGGGCCACAGAAACGTTACTTAGGGCCACAGAATTGTTACTTAGGGACAGACACAGAATTGTTACTGAGGGACACAGAATTGTTACTGAGGGCCACAGAATTGTTACTGAGGGCCACAAACGTTACTTAGGGCCACAGAAACGTTACTTAGGGACACAGAAACGTTACTTAGGGCCACAGAATCGTTACTTAGGGCCACAGAATCGTTACTTAGGGACACAGAATGTTACTTAGGGCCACAGAAACGTTACTTAGGGCCACAGAAATTGTTACTTAGGGACAGACACAGAATTGTTACTCAGGGACACACAGGTTACAGGACACAGAATTGTTACTCAGGGAGGGACACAGAATTGTTACTCAGGGGACACAGAATTGTTACTCAGGGCCACAGAATTGTTACTCAGGGACAGACACAGAATTGTTACAGGGACAGGGACACAGAATTGTTACTGAGGGACACAGAATTGTTACTGAGGGGACACAGAATTGTTACTGAGGGGACACAGAATTGTTACTCAGGGACAGACACAGAATTGTTACTGAGGGACAGACACAGAATTGTTACTGAGGGACAGACACAGAATTGTTACTGAGGGACACAGAACAGAATTGTTACTGAGGGACAGACACAGAATTGTTACTGAGGGACAGACACAGAATTGTTACTGAGGGACAGACACAGAATTGTTACTCAGGGACAGACACAGAATTGTTACTCAGGGACAGACACAGAATTGTTACTCAGGGACAGACACAGAATTGTTACTGAGGGCCACAGAATTGTTACTGAGGGCCACAGAATTGTTACTGAGGGACCACAGAATTGTTACTCAGGGACAGACACAGAATTGTTACTCAGGGACAGACACAGAATTGTTACTGAGGGACACAGAATTGTTACTGAGGGACAGACACAGAATTGTTACTGAGGGACAGACACAGAATTGTTACTGAGGGACAGACACAGAATTGTTACTGAGGGACAGACACAGAATTGTTACTGAGGGGACAGACACAGAATTGTTACTGAGGGGACACAGAATTGTTACTGAGGGACAGACACAGAATTGTTACTCAGGGACAGACACAGAATTGTTACTGAGGGACACACAGAATTGTTACTGAGGGACAGACACAGAATTGTTACTGAGGGCCACAGAACTGTTACTTCAGGGCCACAGAATTGTTACTCAGGGACACATTTTGTTACTCAGGGACAGACACAGAATTGTTACTCAGGGACACAGAATCGTTGAATTAAAGAGTATGTCAGACAACATGCAGAGGAGTGGCAGAGGAGGCAATGTTTTAGGAGGAGCGAGCAGACGTGGCAGCAGAGGAAGGGGTCGAGGCAGCACTATTCGCAGCCAGAGGCCAGTGCTCCCGGTGTCATCCAGTACAGTGAGGAAGAGCTAACAGGGGCGGTCAGGAACGGGGGGAGACATCCGCCTCTTCAGCAGCCAGGCGAAGAAGTAGTGGCGAGGAGAGTGGCTCGGTAGCCGGTCTAGAGACAGGTCTGTCTCCTGACCCACACGCAGCCGAGGGGGCTAGTAGTGAGGCGGAGACCCTAATTGATGATGATGAGGCTGATCGCACTTGGCAGCCTCGTCGTCATCAGGCTATTGCTTCCGCATCATCAGGAGAAGAGGGTGGCAGCTTGGCAGCGAGCAAAACAGTCGGTGGGTTGTCTCCATCGCCACACTCTGCCATGTGCCACTTTCAGGTCTCCTCACACACTGCTGGTGTGTGTTCCATTTTTTGACATAGGGTGCTGGCAGATTACGGGCCTCCCATAGCTGCTGCCAGGCCCCTAATCTGCCATGGGCCCCTATACCGCCTCCTCATGCTGCTGCCAGGTCCAGAGTCTCTCATGGGTCCCTGTACGGCCTCCCATTGCTGCTGTCTCCATCGCCACACTCTGCCATGTGCCACTTTCAGGTCTCCTCACACTGCTGGTGTGTTCCATTTTTTGTCATAGGGTGCTGGCAGATTACGGGCCTCCCATAGCTGCTGCCAGGCCCCTAATCTGCCATGGGCCCCTATACCGCCTCCTCATGCTGCTGCCAGGTCCACAGTGTCTCATGGGTCCCTGTACGGCCTCCCATGTGCTGTTCCATCTCCACACACTGCCTGGTCAGGTTCTCCTCACACACTGCTGGGTGTTTTTGTCATAGGGTGCTGGCAGATTACGGGCCTCCCATAGCTGCTGCCAGGCCCCTAATCTGCCATGGGCCCCTGTACGCCTCCTCTGCTGCTGCCATGCTGCTGCCAGGTCCCACTGTGTCTCATGCCATGTGCCACTTTCAGGTCTCCTCACACACTGCTGGTGTGTTCCAATTTCAATTTTTTGTCATAGGGTGCTGGCAGATTACGGGCCTCCCATAGCTGCTGCCAGGCCCCTAATCTGCCATGGGCCCCTATACCGCCTCCTCATGCTGCTGCCAAGTCCAGAGTCTCTCATGGGTCCCTGTACGGCCTCCCATTGCTGCTGTCTCCATCGCCACACTCTGCCATGTGCCACTTTCAGGTCTCCTCACACACTGCTGGTGTGTTCCATTTTTTGACATAGGGTGCTGGCAGATTACGGGCCTCCCATAGCTGCTGCCAGGCCCCTAATCTGCCATGGGCCCCTATACCGCCTCCTCATGCTGCTGCCAGGTCCACAGTGTCTCATGCCATGTGCCACTTTCAGGTCTCCTCACACACTGCTGGTGTGTTCCATTTTTTGTCATGGGTGCTGGCAGATTACGGGCCTCCCATAGCTGCTGTGCCAGGCCCCTAATCTGCCATGGGTGCCAGATTATATAGCCGCCTCCTCATGCTGCTGCGAAGTCCAGAGTCTCTCATGGGTCCCTGTACGGCCTCCCATTGCTGCTGTCTCCATCGCCACACTCTGCCATGTGCCACTTTCAGGTCTCCTCACACACTGCTGGTGTGTTGAATTTTTTGACATAGGGTGCTGGCAGATTACGGGCCTCCCATAGCTGCTGCCAGGCCCCTAATCTGCCATGGGCCCCTATACCGCCTCCTCATGCTGCTGCCAGGTCCAGGCGAACGTAGTCACACAGGGGAGGAACTTCTCAGTGTAATGAACAGAGAAATCGACATGATGGCTGTCTCCGCGCAAACTGAAAATCGGAACCATGTTGCCTCCGACAACGGAAAGAACATGGTGTCTGCTCTGCGTCAAGGAAGGTTGTGCCATGCGCCATGCATGGCTCACGTGTTCAATTGGTTGTCAAGCGGTTCCTAAAATCCACCATCCCACTGCAAGACATCCTTAAAATGTCACGTAAACCTTGCATGCATTTCAGCCATTCCTACACCGCAAAGCACACCCTCCTTGAGCTGCAGCGGCAGAACGGAATTCCACAGCATCGCCTGATCTGCGACGTTGCAACAAGGTGGAATTCAACCCTACACATGGTAGACCGCCTTTACGAACAGCGAAAGGCCATCACCGATTTCATGATGTTACAAGCGGATAAAGGTACTCCCCTGTGTAACTTCGATGTCAGCCATTGGCAGCTCATGCGTGACACCTGCCGCTTGCTCAGGCCCTTTGAGGAGGCCACGCTATTCGTGAGTCGGCAGGACTATGGGATGAACGACGTCATTCCTCTGTTGCACGTCCTGGAACAAATGCTGTTAACAATGGCTGGTCAGGGTGCGGTAGACGTGGCGCACAGATCTCAACGCCACATGACCCCTGTGGGGGCAGGACAGGAAGAAGAGGAGGAGGTAGAGGAGGACATTTGTGCTCAGGAATTATTGAGTGAAATGGGTGGTTTTTCCACTCAGCGGACAGGAGTGGAGGAGCAGGAGCATCTGGTAGAGGAGGAGGAGGAGGAGACAGAGGACCCAGACGCACCGTGGCAGTATGCTGTGGAGATGGAGTCAGGGAGTCCCTCGCATTCCTTGGCACAAATGGCCCATAGCATGCTCGGTTGCTTGCGTAGCGACAGCCGAATAAGAACCATCAGACAGAGGGATGACTTTTGGCTGTCCACCTTGTTGGACCCTCGCTACCGTTCAAAAATGGTGGCCTTTTTCACACCTGCTGAGAGGGAGGCCAAAATAACGTACTATAAAAACCACCTATGTAGTCAGTTGGTCTCTGCCTTTGTGCGCCAACGTCCATCCTCAGACACTGTGGGCCCTGTGCGCTCGCGTTCCGCTGCCATGGCAGCAAAGGAGGGGTGGGGTGGTAGGAGCAGTGGCAGCTCCACCAGCAGCGGCTGACTCAGTCTGCAGTCGATGATGAGTAGCTTTCTTCACCAGCGCAGTGAGGAAACTAGTAACCAGCCGCAGCAGCAGCAGCATCAGGTGGACCTGGAGCAGGACCTCAAACAACAGGCTTGGGCCTACTTGGACAGCACCCTGCCAACCGAGGTAGACAATCCCCTTGACTACTGGGCAACGAAACTTGACCTTTGGCCCCAACTAGCTGAATTTGCCCTTGAAAGGCTGTCATGCCCGGCCAGTAGCGTGGCATCGGAGCGCGTGTTTAGTGCGGCAGGAGGTATTGTAACTCCGCGGAGGACACGACTGTCCACCCAAAGTGTGGAGAGACTCACGTTTGTGAAAATGAATCAGGCGTGGATTAGTCTGGATTTCAAACCACCAGTTCCTGACACAACTGACTAAATCCGCCATGAATCATGCCCCTGCCATGTGCCACTTTCAGGTCTCCTCACACTGCTGGTGTGTCCAATTTTTTTGTCATAGGGTGCTGGCAGATTACGGGCCTCCCATAGCTGCTGCCAGGCCCCTAATCTGCCATGGGCCCCTTTACCGCCTCCTCATGCTGCTGCAAGTCCAGAGTCTCATGGGTCCCTGTACGGCCTCCCATTGCTGCTGTCTCATCGCCACACTCTGCCATGTGCCACTTTCAGGTCTCCTCACACTGCTGGTGTGTTCCAATTTTTTGACATAGGGTGCTGGCAGATTACGGGCCTCCTATAGCTGCTGCCAGGCCCCTAATCTGCCATGGGCCCCTGTACCGCCTCCTCATGCTGCTGCCAGGTCCACAGTGTCTCATGCCGTGTGCCACTTTCAGGTCTCCTCACACTGCCTGGTGTGTTCCATCTATTTTTGTCATAGGGTGCTGGCAGATTACGGGACTCCCATAGCTGCTGCCAGGCCCCTAATCTGCCATGGGACCCTATACCGCCTCC